TATATATATATATATATATATATATATATATATATATATATGTGTGTGTGTATACATCTCACTCATGAAATTATGGAATAATAACCCTATAAATTAACTGTAAGTATTCAATTAAATATCGAATTATCTTTATACTTCAAAATAAAAACATAATTTTTCCCCTCCACAAATCTAGAAACTAATGTGTCCACAAATCATTAACAAACAGACAGAAAAAGTATATTCAACATAGTACAATGTCACAGGTAACTATTTTCCAGAGACAAAAAAGTATAAACTGTTTTGACTGACTAAATCTTACAAATTTTGATATTCAGATGTGTTAAATGTATTGAGATGAAATTGTGTGCTATCTATATAAAAGAAACAAATATCTTGCCTCATCTGCCATGCAACCTTCGGGTTAAAAGTACTGCATACTGCAGTAAAATGTCAACTAAGATATTTGAAGAAGAGAAATCTTTATGATAGTGGAAAGTATCCTTTTTATAGTTCTTTTTCATTGTTTGGTCAAGGTGAGTGGGAATAGGGAAGGTGAAAATTAATGATTAAATTATTCCCTAAGGACATAACAAGGTGATGTCATCTGACAAAAGAGGGCCCTTTTACTGAACTAAACAGGGATTTTAATTTTAGATGAGTCTTCAATAGTTCATGTCCTAATGAAATGATCACTATGTTAAAACACTGACTTTTACATTAAAGAGAGTGTTGTTTGGTGCTTCTGGAGGTTTTATTACCATCCTTTACAGATTTAGTATTCCATAGAGACTAATCAGAGAAAGAGTTGTTGTGACCAGTGGCTGGGCGATCACTTAAGTTCATAAATCAGGCACACAGTAAGTGATCTACAGATGGTGACAAAATAGAAAGACATGTTGTAAGTATTCTCAGCAGAATCAGTGATGTAAAGACCCAGGGACCCACTACAAAACGTTTTTCAAAAAGACTTTCTCAGTGTCACTTCATAATATCATTGATTAAAAAATGTTAAATAACATTATATATTGAAAATCTGATCATATAATTAGGAAATTCATGACAATGTTTAAAGAAAATCCTATGAGTTTTATGTATGGTGATTGAGAAGTGCAAAACAAATCACAATTCTGAAAACAAAATAACAAATTGCAAATGCAAGTCTAAAAAACAAAATAACAATTCAGAAAACACAACAACACTTCAGAAAACATTATAACAAGTCAGAAAACACAATGACAAATTCGAAAACAAAATAACAAGTCAGAAAACACAACGGCAAATCCGAAAACAAATTAACAAGTCAGAAAACACAACGACAATTCAGACAAACCGGAAGACGTAGGTATAGTTTGAGACAGCGCCATTGGTTTGGGATTACTCACCGCTGACTGGACGAGACATCTGTCAATCAACGTATACAGGAAGAACCAGCCGAAGAACAGCAGAGTCGTGGTAGAAAGTTCAGAGATGGTATTAAAGTAGCTCAGTTTAAATGTATTGTATGAATTGCCCTTACTATAGAATAAAAAATACGGAGTGTCTATTTACATTTAGTTAAAAGTGGCTGTAACTCATCAGCTGCAGTGGCACAGATGGATAAGCGTGTGTTGTTTGCTTTTTGACGAGATCGACCCGGGTTCGATGCATTTTTTTCCTCCCTTTTCAAATCTCGTATTAGCAATGGATTCTATTTACACTAAGTGAAAATAGCAGTATTTTTTTTAGCAATATGCTATTTACACTAAGTGCAAATACCTATTTACACTATGTTAAAATAGCAGGATTTCTACTATCAAGTATACTACTTGTTGCAAATAGTGGCAATTATCTGCACTTCAGTATTGTAGTACATTATAAAACAGTATGCAATAATAACGTATTGAGTGTAAATTATAATTTTAATTTTAATTATTACATGGATGCCACCTTATTGGTACAATAAAGCCCTCCCTACCCAATGGCGCTGTCTCAAACTATAACCTACCTTTTCCAGTTTGTCTGATTTGTCATTGTGTTTCCTGAATTGTTATTTTGTTTTTGAATTTGTCATTGTGTTTTCTGACTTGTTATAATGTTTTCTGAATTGTTGTTGTGTTTTCTGAATTAATATTTTGTTTTTTAGACTTGCATTTGCGTTTGTAATTTGTTATTTTGTTTTCAGATTTGTGATTTGTTTTGCACTTCTCTGCCACCGTATTTATGCCTATAGTCCAATATCTTCTCATTTGACCCCTGCAGTTCCTGCATGGACCCCTAGAGGGCTACAGACCCCTGTTTGAAAGCCCTTACTTTAATCATAAGAAAATGTAGCCTATTTTACAATATTACATTCATTAGAGTTTTTTTTTTAACTGTCAATTGAAGAATAACAATATAATTGTAAAAACAACTGATTTTGGTTATGCCCTTTCATTGGTGAATACAGCATAGGCTAATTATTTGTGCAGACCTTCTCTTTTGCGAGTGCAACTTTTCACTAGCTTGCTCACCTGATGCCCGCCCTCATTGCTCTCCTGACGGCTGGCTTGCTCAACACAACCCAGTGTTACAATATGTCATAATTCCAGCCAATCAGAGACGAGGCTGCTAAATTCTGATTGGCTGCCTTGACAACCAATCACAACATTCATTCATTGCATTACCTCAACAGCAGAAGAGAAAAAATACAGTGCATTCATAATTATTATGCAAGTTGATATTCTGATCATATTTTTTCCAAGCACATTTTACCAATTCCAAACGACATCAATCTTAATAACTACTATTAATCTTGTATTTAATAATTTATAATTGATATATAATTATTCATGAAAGCTGGAAGTGGAAAATGTCTTGTATTCAGGTGTGCATAATTATTAAGCAGACTTTCTTTTACAGATAAAATGAGCCAAAAAAGAGATTTAACTCGGAGTGAAAGTCAAAAATTATCAAATGCCCATGAGAAATATTCAAAACTAATACAATACTAGAAATAACTAGAAACATGCAAGGAATGTTGTGATTGGTTGTCAAGGCAGCCAATCAGAATTTAGCAGCCTAGTCTCTAATTGGCTGGAGTTATGGCATATTGTAACGCTGGGTTGTGTTGAGCAAATGAGCCGTCGGCATTTAGAGAGCACTGAGGGCGGTCGTCAAGGGAGCAAGCTAGTGAAATGTTGCACGCGCAAAAGAGAAGGTCTGCACACATCCAAAAACTTAATTTAAACTCAGATCGCGCGCATGCAAAATGCACTTTTGTGTGCTCAAAATATGATCTTTCGCGCGCAGAATTGTGGCAGAGATCTAACCCTATAGAGAGCTGGCATCACCTCGGCTGTATTTAGCAGCCTAGTCTCTAATTGGCTGGAGTTATGGCATATTGTAACGCTGGGTTGTGTTGAGCAAATGAGCCGTCGGCATTTAGAGAGCACTGAGGGCGGTCGTCAAGGGAGCAAGCTAGTGAAATGTTGCACGCGCAAAAGAGAAGGTCTGCACACATCCAAAAACTTAATTTAAACTCAGATCGCGCGCATGCAAAATGCACTTTTGTGTGCTCAAAATATGATCTTTCGCGCGCAGAATTGTGGCAGAGATCTAACCCTATAGAGAGCTGGCATCACCTCGGCTGTATTGAATTTTAAAACCCAGTGGGTGTGGGGAATGTCCTGAGATACTGTTTCCCTGTCGTTGTTTTTATGACTTGGACCTTTTTTCTATTCTGGTGTGGTCAGATGCGACGTTCTAAGCGGATGCGGTCGCCAGATGGCTGGATCGCGGAGTACAGCTGGGAGGAGAGGGTGGAGGTGCACAAAAGACCGAAGCGCAGCTCTCGCAGCGGGGAAAGAGAGCGGCAGCCCGGGAGAACTCATCACTATAAGACATACGAAAGGTAAGACTTACTCACTTTTAAAATGTGAAATTAGCACTTATTTTGTTTCAGTTCAAATGGTGTCGTTAGACTGTTAGATTTGTTGTTGGCATTGAGCCCTGTCAGCTTGTCCTGCGTGTTTGCAGTGCCTTGAAATGATATACAGTGTAGCATGTTCTTGGATTCAGAAACAAACTGTCAGGGTGACAAGTGCTGTAATCGGGCGTGTCAGAGGGTCCTGATCAGTGTTTGCAATTCAGAGAATCCCACTGATGTAAAATCCTTCTGACGTTAGATTGCCAAAATTTCTGTAGCGACGATTATTACGTTTTCAGTTTCTGTCCACAGAGCTGCCACATTGTTGTTGTGTTTTGTACGGTAGAAAATGTTAACAGCCATTTCATTAGTTTTCATTTGACCCTCCCAGGCATTTTGAAATGCAAACTGAGAGCTTGTAAATGCCCGTTCACTCCAAGAATGAGAGTGTGTAGATATTAGTGTTTACACCAGTGAAAGGTAACATTGTTTATTATAAATGTGTGTTGCGAGTTATATTGTCCACCCTTTTAAAGTTGCTATGAAATTAAATTCTGTTTTCCAAGTCATGCTTTATCTTATTGTGAATCATTCATCTATGCATTCTGTTTAGTTTTACAATTTAGTTTGACCTCCTAATTTTGAATTAGTCGTAACTTTTGCAAGCTCTCATTCATCTATTTCCATTTTTGAGCGCAATATCCTAAAATCCAATCAACAACTGATGAATTGAACAAAAATGCACTTTTTGATAAACTGTTACACTTGGATGTACGTCAAAACACGTAAAAAATGTCTGTTGCTAAAACTCAAGCTCTTTAAAGTGGGGTGTATTCTTCTAACTGGCGATCAGTGTTCATCAGGTGGGGAAAAAATCACAGAGTAGGTACAGTTTTGAGCAGGCCCAGAACAACCTTAACTCTGCTGTGTAAAGATGCCCATAATTAATTAACATTATAGTAGGGCTGGACGATATGGCCAAAATTTATATCACGATATATTTCTTAATTTCGGTCGATACGATATAATTCCGATATCGATATGAACACTATTAAAAAAAGCCTCATAAAAACGGCCACAACAGATGTCTGTACCTACAAACTTATGAAAAATTAATTTGCCAACTCTATGAAACCTACTCCTATAAAACTATATCATATTTTAGGAAAAAAAATGGCGCAAATAAATAAATGTTCACCTTTTATTGGTATTTAGCCTTCATACAAACAAGAAATGTGAAATCACTGCCAAATAAATCTCAGACTCTCCTTATTAATATGAATATTTTTTACTTCAAACTATAGGCTAACATACCAGTCAAAAGTTTTTGAACAGTAAGATTTTTAATGTTTTTTAAAGAATTCTCTTCTGCTCACCAAGCCTGCATTTATTTGATCCAAAATACAGCAAAAACGGTAACATTTTGAAATATTTTTACTATTTAAATTAACTGTTATACATTATAAATGTCTTTATCATCACTTTTGATCAATTTAAAACATCCTTGCTAAATGAAAGTAATAATTTCTATAATATCAATTTTAAAAAGAGCTTTTGAATGGTATAGTGTATAACAAAAGCTTTTTATTTCAGATAAATGCTGATCTTTGGATCTTTGACCTTTTTTCTATTCTGGTGTGGTCAGATGCGACGTTCTAAGCGGATGCGGTCGCCAGATGGCTGGATCGCGGAGTACAGCTGGGAGGAGAGGGTGGAGGTGCACAAAAGACCGAAGCGCAGCTCTCGCAGCGGGGAAAGAGAGCGGCAGCCCGGGAGAACTCATCACTATAAGACATACGAAAGGTAAGACTTACTCACTTTTAAAATGTGAAATTAGCACTTATTTTGTTTCAGTTCAAATGGTGTCGTTAGACTGTTAGATTTGTTGTTGGCATTGAGCCCTGTCAGCTTGTCCTGCGTGTTTGCAGTGCCTTGAAATGATATACAGTGTAGCATGTTCTTGGATTCAGAAACAAACTGTCAGGGTGACAAGTGCTGTAATCGGGCGTGTCAGAGGGTCCTGATCAGTGTTTGCAATTCAGAGAATCCCACTGATGTAAAATCCTTCTGACGTTAGATTGCCAAAATTTCTGTAGCGACGATTATTACGTTTTCAGTTTCTGTCCACAGAGCTGCCACATTGTTGTTGTGTTTTGTACGGTAGAAAATGTTAACAGCCATTTCATTAGTTTTCATTTGACCCTCCCAGGCATTTTGAAATGCAAACTGAGAGCTTGTAAATGCCCGTTCACTCCAAGAATGAGAGTGTGTAGATATTAGTGTTTACACCAGTGAAAGGTAACATTGTTTATTATAAATGTGTGTTGCGAGTTATATTGTCCACCCTTTTAAAGTTGCTATGAAATTAAATTCTGTTTTCCAAGTCATGCTTTATCTTATTGTGAATCATTCATCTATGCATTCTGTTTAGTTTTACAATTTAGTTTGACCTCCTAATTTTGAATTAGTCGTAACTTTTGCAAGCTCTCATTCATCTATTTCCATTTTTGAGCGCAATATCCTAAAATCCAATCAACAACTGATGAATTGAACAAAAATGCACTTTTTGATAAACTGTTACACGATATTAATATACTACAAAAGATTTATATTTCAAATAAATGCTGTTCTTTCGAACGTCTTATTCGTTCTTATTTAAGGAACCCTAAAATATGTATTATGATTTCCAAGGAAATATCAAACAGCATTGACCCCAAACCTTTGAGCAGTAGTATATGTCTGTAAGAAAGCAAGTGTTAGTTTATAGTGAGGAGAGGATGATGGCAATTAATGTTCAATGTATTACAGAAGCGTGATGAGAGAACCTTGAAGAGGTTGGATGTGAAAGTTGTGGACTTTGGCAATGCTACCTATGACCACGAGCACCACACCTCTGTGGTGTCAACACGCCACTACAGAGCTCCGGAAGTTATTTTGGGTAAACTGTTTGCACTATTATTTTTGCTGTTGTTTATCCACTAAAGCATGTTCATGATTTTGAACATTGCAAAATCTCTGCTGGCAGAACTTGGCTGGAACCAGGCGTGTGACGTGTGGAGTTTGGGCTGTATCCTGATTGAGTTCTATCTGGGATTAACGTTATTTCAGGTGCAAATTCACAAATGCATATTTTATTATTCTACTTAAATGCAAAATACTTACAAAAACTCCCTCTTTTTTTTAGACTCACGACAGTAAGGAGCATCTAGCAATGATGGAGAGGGTTCTAGGCCCCATACCTGCACACCTGCTTCAGAAAACCAGGTGCAGTATCGTAACTTGAGACTAGGCGTTTGTCACTTGTTTCTAAATACATGTTTCTTACATGATCAACGATATGAGAGGTTTTTAGATTTGTCATGGTCTGTCTTTGACTGATGCGTGACTGTGCTTCATTGTCAGGAAACGGCGTTATGTGCATCATGACAAATTGGACTGGGATGAGCACAGCTCAGCAGGGAGATACGTGAGGAAACACTGTAAACCTCTAAAGGTAAATATTTCAAACATTGAACTGCTTATTATGCTTAGTTTTGATTACATTATGCTGCAGATACTGACTCTTTATTAAAAGCTTTGTTCATGTAAACCAGTTGATAATATCTATAGCCTCAAAGCATAGGCGGAGGGTGGACCAACTCCAGGGTAAGGCTAAAAGCAGCCTAATCTATTAACTATAAACATCATAAACCTGTCATAAAGGTGTCATGTAGGCTAATAAAATATGTTTAATGGGGCTGACAATTTAATAAAAAACATTAGAAATCGGTAATTATAAAACGTTTCCTTTCAAAGGTTATTCAAACAGCGAATAAAATATTATACCGAAAGTGACATTGTCACTAACTTTGATCTATCGCTATAAAACTATTGTTAAAATCACTTAAGCTGTCTACACTGTTAAATAAATTTTTTACTTACATTGTACATACATCTGCGCGTCCGGAATTCAGTCAGCGAACGGCACGCACTCAAAACGGATGAGTTTCAGCGATGACTCATCTGAACGCCTCTGATTGGCCATTGCATTCCTAAGATCAACAGAATCGTGTGTGTGATTGGTTATAATGCGGAACACTGTAAAAACGGCTAAAATGTAATACAGTGCAACATGAGCAGATCTTAATTTAATGCCGCAATCGACACTTTCTATTCATTTTCTATTCAAGTCGTGGCCTAATGGTTAGAGAGTCGGACTCATAACCCAAAGGTTGTGGGTTCGAGTCTCGTACCGGCAGGGATTGTAGGTGGGGGGTGTGAATGTACAGCGCTCTCTCCCACCTTCAATACCACGACTGAGGTGCCCTTCAGCAAGGCACCGAACCCCCAACTGCTCCCCGGGCGCCGCAGCATAAATGGCTGCCTACTGCTCCAGGTGTGTGTTCACTGCTGTTTGTGTGCACTTTGGATGGGTAAATGCAGAGCACTAATTCAGAGTATAGGTCACCATACTTGGCCACATGTCACTTCACTTTTTATTTTCATTTTGTTAGCAACAGTCATATTAGATTTAATTTGTTTGTGCAGGGGCATTTTTGCCCCAACTCGCTGTGGACAGGGGAAGGCTTACACACGCTCCGCCTATGCCTCAATGTTGTTTTTGGTCACTTTGTACTGTTTATAAGCACAAGTACAAAATGTTAAAGGTTTTGGAATGAAAATACTGAATGTTTTTCTCTGAATTTATGGTTGTTTTTTTGGTGATACATTCCAGTGGTCTTTAATTTTTCCTCCAGCAACTGTGCTTGCTGTATGTTTAATACTTAATTAAAAGTCTTGTGGACTACTAATTTTGGAGATGTACTGATGCCAGTATGTTAATGAGACACATTTCTGTTTTGGTTTGCCTTGATGAAAATAATATAGTTGAATCTCTGCGATGACTCATCTGAACGCCTCTGATTGGCCATTGCATTCCTAAGATCAACAGAATCGTGTGTGTGATTGGTTATAATGCGGAACACTGTAAAAACGGCTAAAATGTAATACAGTGCAACATGAGCAGATCTTAATTCAATGCCGCAATCGACACTTTCTATTCATTTTCTATTCAAGTCGTGGCCTAATGGTTAGAGAGTCGGACTCATAACCCAAAGGTTGTGGGTTCGAGTCTCGTACCGGCAGGGATTGTAGGGGGGGGGTGTGAATGTACAGCGCTCTCTCCCACCTTCAATACCACGACTGAGGTGCCCTTCAGCAAGGCACCGAACCCCCAACTGCTCCCCGGGCGCCGCAGCATAAATGGCTGCCTACTGCTCCAGGTGTGTGTTCACTGCTGTTTGTGTGCACTTTGGATGGGTAAATGCAGAGCACTAATTCAGAGTATAGGTCACCATACTTGGCCACATGTCACTTCACTTTTTATTTTCATTTTGTTAGCAACAGTCATATTAGATTTAATTTGTTTGTGCAGGGGCATTTTTGCCCCAACTCGCTGTGGACAGGGGAAGGCTTACACACGCTCCGCCTATGCCTCAATGTTGTTTTTGGTCACTTTGTACTGTTTATAAGCACAAGTACAAAATGTTAAAGGTTTTGGAATGAAAATACTGAATGTTTTTCTCTGAATTTATGGTTGTTTTTTTGGTGATACATTCCAGTGGTCTTTAATTTTTCCTCCAGCAACTGTGCTTGCTGTATGTTTAATACTTAATTAAAAGTCTTGTGGACTACTAATTTTGGAGATGTACTGATGCCAGTATGTTAATGAGACACATTTCTGTTTTGGTTTGCCTTGATGAAAATAATATAGTTGAATCTCTGCTCCTTACTCAGCAATACATGTCCTCTAAAACCCCGGAGCATGAGCTGCTTTTTGACCTGCTGCAGAAGATGATGGAGTATGATTCTTCCAAACGAATCACCCTGGAGCAGGCCATTGGACATCCCTTTTTCAACTCGATAAGAAAAGAAAGAAAGTGACTTTGAGGCGACACAAAATGAACCTTACTGCTCCCAGGGAGACTGCTGCTGACTGTATCAGTCTGCTTTAAGACTGCCTGCATCATTACCTCTGTCTATATTTATTGTCAATTTGATTATATGGGCCAAATTTATCTGTACTTTTGGCAAATTAAACTTGAGTGCTTTGAATACACACCATTTGTGACTTTATTTAGTCATTCTTTTTAATAATACTGAACTGACATTCAGGATTAGTGTATAGTGATGCAGATTATCAGGATCTTTTTTCCCCAGTTAGTGCTATTATAAACTCTGTCCTGCAGATGGCACCAAAAGGCCTGTTTACAAATGCTCTCCTAGTTCTGCAGCCCTCTTTAGTTCGGATGTATTTTTTGAGCAGAGCACATGGACATCATGTGGAAAAAAATCTTGAGATTTTGCAGGATGAAATGCAAATAATCTTTGTTGCAACTAAATTCTGTTTTTATTACAGATGGATACAAACAATTCCTGCAATAAAGGCTATTATAAAGCACTAATAATTTGACATTCAGAGGGCACATGTATTGTGCCATGCACAAAAAAGTCATCTTTTGACCCTTGCGCGTGTTTAATGTGAAATTAGTGTATAGTGATGCAGATTATCAGGATCTTTTTTCCCCCAGTTAGTGCTATTATAAACTCTGTCCTGCAGATGGCACCAAAAGGCCTGTTTACAAATGCTCTTGTGGAAAAAAATCTTGAGATTTTGCAGGATGAAATGCAAATAATCTTTGTTGCAACTAAATTCTGTTTTTATTACAGACGGATACAAACAATTCCTGCAATAAAGGCTATTATAAAGCACTAATAATTTGACATTCAGAGGGCACATGTATTGTGCCATGCACAAAAAAGTCATCTTTTGACCCTTGCGCGTGTTTAATGTGAGTTTATTTTGGACACTGCCTTGTATCTACAGTTTTCTTAAGTTCAATTTGCGCAATCGAAATGGTATTTTGGCGCATAACGCGCAGTGAGGTTAAACAAAAGTTATGTTTTTGACCTCTAGTGGTTGAAGCATGAAACTACGAATTACTCGCGAAGGAATGGCAATTACTTGGCTTAATTTTTGCGAGACATCACAAAGAAAAACCGACAGGAGAAAGGCAAAAGACATAGCCTATCATGTTTTTAACCAAGCCTTCTCCTTGCCATACATGCCATATATTAGCAGCATCTTTCATATGCTATATATCAAATATTGGCAATTTTTTCAATGTTACAGGGTATTTTTTCAAAGTATTTCGTGTTTTTGTTTATATTTGATGTGTGTGTCATAATAAAATCTTAAATATTGACAGTTCTTCGAAAGCGCTTGAGCGGCTGTACTATTTCAGACGCGCAACTTTTGTTATTATCCTTGATTCATTTATAGCCTTATCTCACTTTTGTGTTCACTAACGTTTGAAACGTATAGTAAAGGAATAGATGCTCTTAAGACCCCCGTCATCCTTTTGTTTTCTTCTTTTGACCTTTGGGGCGAAGAGGGGGACACACACACACATGTCTGGCTTGCTATCCTTGTGGGGACTCTCCATAGGCGTAATGGTTTTTCTACTGTACAGACCTTATATTCTATTGCACTACACCAACCCTACCCCTAAACCTACCCCTCACAGGAAACTTTCTGCATTTTTAGATTTTCAAAAAACTTAATTCTGTGTGATTTATTAGCTTGTTTACCCGTGGGGACCTCAATTTAGGTCCCCACCGTGACACGAGTCCCCATGAGTCTGTGTATTCAAGTTTAAGTCCCCACCAGAATAGAAAAACAGGTACACACACACATACACACTATTCGAACTCTGTCGTTTACATAGTTTTGTTGACGGCAGTTCAGCAGGGGGGGAAAAGGGGGCTGACTGGATTCTCTGAGGCACACTTCAGAGGGAAACGATTTAACCTGCGCTCGAGACGCAGAGAGCCGCGCGACCGTCAGTAGCTCTCTTCTAGTGTGCGTCACATCGTCGCGTCTCCTGTCAGCCGAAGTTACTCTGAAGCCAGAAACGCCACTTTACTGAAATAAAGGTCTACACGAGTTTTAAAAGAGGAGTCAAGAACAAGGATACTATTTGAACCGTAATGCCAAAAATGGTTTCAACTGGGGATTCAAAAGATGCGTCAAAGACTTCACAGAGCAATGGACATCACACATTACAAATATTTCATTGTTTAACCACCCTCGTATGCTTTATGTTGTCGGCATCTTCGGTGGCAGTTTGTCTGCTTATGAACGTCAAAACATCTCATCTTGAGCGTAAAATTGAGGTTCTAGAGATGGAGCGACTGTCTGTGATTCAACCTGTGCCCGCGACTTTTCGGGATGCGATAGAGAAACTTGTGCAAGAGGTATGTCGTCTATGTTTTTATTGTTTCTTGCTACACTTTTACAAGCATTATTACAAAAAAGTCAAATGTCTGTCTTTCAGTATTTTGTTATGGTTTATATATAACATTTATAATGTTCTAACATATTTATTAGACTATAATGAAGTGAAATGCTCCGTCTTAATTGGTGTTTCCCAAGTATTTTGAGTTACGTGTACTATTTCAGGATTAGCTCAATAAAACACCATTAAACTGAACTAAAAATATCCTGGTAATTTTAAATCACCAGTGTATATATGTAGTATAGCATATAAATATATATTTGTTTTCTCAGAGACTAAAAGAGGGAGTGTCGAAAATTCGCACAGCTCGAGAAGCAGCGCAAGACTGCTCGTGTCCTCCAGGTTTGTTTCTCTGCATGAGATGCTTTGTTTATGTTCTTTTCCCTCCTAAAACGATCAATTGAAGCATATTCACTCTATTTTTATATCAAAATCTGAACTATGCCTTAAATTGGGTCGATAAATGATGCAGCAGGTGCCTCTCTAGCATGTGATGTTGATATGTTCAGTTCAACAGGGACTTGTCTTGAGAAGCTGTTTGCAGTTGTACTTTTTGCAGGTTGTACTTGCATTATTGCAGTGTGTTTTTCAAACTTACGTTTAACGCTGAAGTTATAACCTGCAGTATGAATTTAATTCCAGATGAAGAAAATCAAGTTGAAACTCTGAAAACTCATCAAATCGATACGAAACGACAGAAATTATTATGACAAGTTAAATGGATGGACACAGAGATGTTGTAATGATGAAAAAAAATGTTACAGCCTGGATAAGTGTCAGTGTTCTGACATGTCATTGTGACCACATGCAGAACCGCAGCTTATATACTTCATGCTGAATTAAATAACTCACATGTGGAAATTATAAAGATGCGAGAGGCGCTCCTCTGTCCGCAGAGGCCGGTGGATGCCACAGATTTATTGTGTAAGCTCAGCTACGAGACATTAAAATTCATTGCCAACTATCGGTGCAAAGAAGGGGATAGACAGAGGATACGTAACCTTGCATGAATTTGTTGCTCTGTTCTTATGTTTTAGTCCTTGGAAATTGGGCTGTTGCCTGAGAGAAAATGACAGGTTTATTCCAACACTGTTTAAGAGACGTACCCTCTTCGGGCATAGTGGAATTATGCATGGAGATATTTACTAACCTATGAAGATTTCATGGTAGCGGTGCCTACCTAAAGAGGGCCTCCCATGTACCCTCTGATGTTGTTGCTAAAATGTGGGTATAATTTAACTTGTAGCCCTGTCCCATAGGACACTACAGGTTCAATTAAACTCAACTCAACTCTAAAGCTCTTTTATCTTTTTTCTCTGTATTCTTTTTCAAGGACTGGTTTCATATCTATTCATGTATAACCTTATCGTGCACATTGTTCCTTTCCACGCTTCAAATTTTGCCATGAGCAAAGAGCATATGTAGAGTTTTGCTTCTCGTATCGTCATCCTGAGGTATTGTGGCTAGAAATGAAATCCAGTCTTTTTCATCCCTGATATTGAAATATCAAAGTGGATAAACGAATAGAAGAAAGAACATGAAAGACATCAAAAGTCATCTTGTAAGATCAGTGAACCTTGATAACTTAAAAAGTACTTGTTTTACTGTTTTATTCATTTATCTTTGGAGGAACCATGATGAGTTTTGTGTTGATCGTATTAACATTTATCAGATACTTAATACTTCACTGGCACTTGGTTGGGAAACCATCATCATCACTAGAATTAAAAACAAGAGATCACTTTTCTGAGCAATCAAATGACTTACACCTGACAATTATATAACAGGCAAACAATCCCATATACGTACACTGAAGGAGCCTCAACTGGGAACCAGAAAATAATACAGATCACATAAACAGTGAGCTTTATGATATTTTTTATAATTTATATTTGATAATTCACTGTTTACATCAAAATAGTAAATAGTCAGTGCTATTCAAGTAAAATTGAGCTAATTTTCTCATGGGAGCTTTTTATCGGCTGTTTCAGAAATTATTTCATGACACTTGTTAAGGGTATCTATAATTTACAAGCTGGCTGCTAGTATAATATGGACATTTAAATATGTCATTTACTGTGATATAATGTTTTTTCTGCTCTAAATATACTTTTTTTAGTTGAATGGTATTTGTTATCATTGTACTGAAAGGTAAGAGGCTTTTATACAATTCTTCATTTTAAAGAATATAATTGCAGTTTGTTGGAATTAAGAATTGTTTCTTAGTCCTTAACAGTGAATAGACTTTTTGTCTTCCTCACTTATGTTGCACTTCCTTTCTCCAATTAAAGGCTCAGGTGTTTTGGTGAATCAAACTGTTTTCTTGAGCTGAATGGTAAACCTGAGTCATCCGTCTGTGCAATTTGCTGTTCCTTCCTATGCTTTTAATGGGCTTCTTTTCAAGGCAGACATCAGAAAACACACTTGAACCACAGACACAAAAGGACCAAGACCTGCGGACCGTGAGCTAATGAGCTCAACAAAGCAGTTAATTGACCCAGGCTTCGTAAAAGCTGAAGCCACTCAGACTTGGGCTTCCTCTGAACCTGAAATGACGACACTGGTCACTCAGAGCTCAAAATTAATGAGATACTGAAACAATTAGCCTCTTAGACACTTCCCTATGACATTTGAATTAATTGTAGCTACGAGTTAAGCAGAAATACATCTAAACAACCTCCATAATTCACAAATTATACCACTGGGGGGAAAAATGGTATGGTATATATTTTTTTTAGTCAGTAAAATGTCAACCTTTTGTGAAATGGAAAGGTTCCAAGGATGTTGAAGGTTCTTGGAACCATAGATGCCAAAAAAAAAAAAACCTCTTATTTTCAAGTGTTTATGTACTAAAACGCAAGTTTTGAGCAACCCCTTCTATATGAGTTTGAGTTTTAAAACCCTCCCCTTTAAGTTGCATATGAATCTCTGTGATCAATGTGCTGAAAGCAGTTGACATTCATCTCTTTTGGATTTACTTGTGAGCATCTGTGAACTTGTCGTAATCATTATTACTGTCTTTTTTTTTGTAGTATTGTCTTGTCAAGGACGTAAAATATTACCAAATCGTCATTTCAAAGTGTTCTACTCTACATATTGCAACACAGCAAGAATCCCAGCCACATCACCAGAATACAGATGTTTGCATTCATTGCGAGACTCTATTGATAGATACCACATTCATAACAGAGTCCAATAATACAGCTGCGTTTGTTTCACAAGTGTGCTTGCAGCTATGCTAGCCATTGCTCAGAAAACCTCTTTTATTGCCACTACGGACAAACACATTATCTTAAAACCAAAATCTGAGCGTGACTGTGAAAAGCTACAGTAGGAAAAATCCAAATGTTTCACATAAGTGTGTGACCCCATACCCGAGCCTCAGGGGGATGTAGATCCCAACCCGTCACGGATCCGGACACCTTGTCTCCTCTGTCAGGTTGGGAGGTTGTTCTGGAAACAGAGCGACATGCTTGGATAAGTGTGCTTCTTAAGAATGTGATCCGCCCTTGTTTTATTGGCCTACCCATTGAGAAGGCTGTAAGCTTTAATGCTCCCTCCAAAAGTTGTCTAGGGCTCTAAGGGTTTCGCTGTGGGTGAGATGGAGGGGTACAGATTATCTGTTGGCCTCTGTGTTGGTTTTGAACTTTTTCATGTCTGATCTACGTTAAGCTTTCTCCTCTGCGCATAAGTGTAGTCATATGCTCTACCTTCATGTTGATCTAAGTAGGCATGAAGTGGGGCAACGTGAAAATCTAGCCCTCTCAGTGCACACTGGGTGCTTATGTGTTTCTCCACACCATGTTAGAAGGCTTTTCACTTTGCTGAGAAAAAGCGGATATCTCAAAACCTGCGGCCGAGGAGATGCACTGGAAAATGAATAAATATTTTTCTCCAGAAACGACTGGCCAACTTTAGCGATTGAATCTCCAGCACACATATTGCGTTGTGACTCGAAAAATAATACTGCAGATATTTTTTAAAAGAATAGTTTAACCTGAAATGAAAATTCTGTTGTAATTAACTTACTCTCGTGTGTTTCCTGAAAACGTAAAAAAAAAAATAATTTAAGTTAAAAAATTAATTTTTTTCATCCATACAATGGAAGTCAAAGGTAACCAAAACAGTTTGGCTACCAACATTTTTCAAAATATTTTCTTTAATGTTCCACAGAAGAAAGAAAGTCATACAGGTTTGAAACGACATGAGGGTGATGACATAATTTTCATTTTTGGGCAAACTATCCTTTAAGTGCAGCCTGCGAGCAGATGTGCGGCACAAACGTTTCTTATTACTTTCAATTGACATGAGTCTGTAGCTGCATGGCTTTGTGAAATAGGCGGTCAGAATGTATCTCCATCAGGATCTAGCTAAATAAATACAAAATAAAGGCAATATAGCGGTATGGTTTCTGTACTCTCGGCTTATTAAAAGCATCTGTCTAGTTTGTGGGAGGGCATTCTGGCATACTCTCAACATCACTGTAAAAACTCCGTCCCTGTTTGGCTGCAACATTTCCCAATTTCATTTGAATGAAATGTGAAGCCATGTACCCGCTGAAAATAGAGAGGAGATATGGAAGCAATTATGGTATGTTAGGTCTGATTATCAGAAAAAATAGGTGATTTGTTGATCGTATGGTGGACTTGCGCTTTTTCTCTCCCTCTCATCTCACACCTCACACGAATTTATACATTTGGAGAACATTTATACCCTCCTTGCTCAATCCTAGATGATTTCAAAGATCTCCAATTACAGTAAAATAAAATCAGGGTTCTTTTGTAACTATTTGATAACTGCAATGAAAACGTCTCGGTTACGTATGGTAACCCTCATTCCCTGAAGGAGGTAACGGAGACGTCACGTTGGATGACCGATGAATTGGGATCTCGCTTAGAGAGACCAATCTACTTCGAGTGTAAACTAAACGAGCCAAAGCCGGGGCCTCTCGGTACTTCTACTCATTTGAGGTGAGAACACAGGAGGATACCGGCTCCACACGAAGGCTATAGAATCTAGCGAACGTGTTAGGGGTCGCCCAGCCCGCAGCCCTACAGATATCCGTCAGCGAGGCGCCAGGAGCCAGCGCCCAGGAGGATGCAACACTTCTGGTTGAGTGAGCTCGCAACCTGAATGGGCAGGGCTCACCCTGTGCCTGATAAGCCAGGGTGATGGCATCCACTATCCAGTGGGCCATCCTCTGCTTAGAGACGGCATTCCCCTTCTGCCGGCCTCCGTGACAGACAAAGAGCTGGTCTGAGGTCCTGAAGCTTTGCGTCCGGTCTACGTAGCACCTTAAGGCTCGGACGGGTCAGAGCAAAACTAGGGCTGGGTTTGCCTCC